TACTCACCAAATATGGGAAAAACATGATTTCATTTCACGTATTGTTCAAGAGTTGTTTCGTTATGGTTTTGATAATAATAATGGTGATATTTTAGTTTATAAAAATGGTTTTTTAATTTCTAAAGCAAGTCCTTGGAATGGTGTTTATAAAAGTGTTGTTTGTGTTAGCAATGCTAATAATCTAATGTTGAATGTTGGCTCTTCCAATATGTTGAACAAATCATGTTTATAGCATTTTTCATTTAGGCATTTAAACAAGAAACGTATTGCCAAGCTTCAAAAGGATGAGTTCCTGGAATCATTTGACTTGGAGTCGAATGATGTATGTGAGTCTTTCTTACTTGGCAAGATGATGAAAGCGCCTTTCATAGGAAACTGTGAAAGAGGAAATGATCTATAAGAACTAATTCAGAATGATGTATGTGGACGGTTCAGATCCACCATTGGACATAGTGAACGTTAGTTCGTGACTTTTACTGATGATTTTAGTAGATATGGCTATATATACTTAATGTAGCATACATCATAAAGTTTTGAAGTGTTCAGAGAGTTCCAAAAGGAAGTTGAAAACCAACTGGACAAAAAGATCGATATGCTTTACTCTGATAGAGGTGGAGAATACTTGAGTATTGAATTCATCGATCATCTAAAGGATTGTGGAGTTGTTTCACAATTTTCTCCTCCTAGAACACGACACCTAAATGGTGTTGTTGAGAGAAGAAATTGAACACTACTCAATATGGTTCGATCTATGATGACTCGAGCTACACTTCTAATAACTTTCTGGGGTTACGCTCTTGAGACAGTCACTAATATCCTTAACCTCCTACAAATTAAGAAGGTCGATACAACACCTTCCAAAATGTGGAATGGGAAACCTCTCAGTCTTTCACATTTAGAAATCTAGGGTTGCAAAGTATATGTACTTTATGAGGCGAATGATAAACTAGAACCATGATCGGAAAAAGTGTTAATTCGTTAGGTATCCTCAAAAGTCTTTTTGATATCTTTTTTGCAATGCTTTTGAGAACAAAGTTTTTGTTGCTCAAATGGGCTTCTTCCTTGAGTGAGAGCTCAAGTCCAAAGAAGCTAGTGGGAACCTAATTGATCTTGAAGAAATTCAAGAGTCAAATGAAGAAGGACCAAAAATTGAAACTGGCACTCAACCAGAGGTTGATCAAATTGTTGAGCAAAATAGCATAATTCCAACTCCTCCACTTTATAGATCTAATAAGGTTCAATTACCTCCTAATTTTTATGGTTTCCATATTGAAACTAAAGGAGAAGTACTAAACAGTGATTAGACACTGGTAGGTATGGATGAACCATCTAGCTACAAGGAAGTGATGACATGCAATGAAGTTAATAAATGGAAGGAGATCATGGAAAATGAAATGTAATCCATGTATGATAGCCAAGTATGGAATTTAGTTCATCCTACATCTAGCATCAAAACTGTTGGATGCAAATGAATCTTTAAGAAAAAGACTGACATGGGTGGGAATGTACACACATACAAAGCTAGGCTAGTTACGAAGGGTTATAGTCAAATACAAAGAGTTGATTATGAGGGAAACTTCTTACCGGTAGCCAGGATTAAGTCTATTAGAATATTGCTTGCCTTAACTAGTTTCTTTGATTATGAAATATGGCAAATGGACATGAAGTCTACTTTCCTTAACAGGAAATTAGTAGAGGACGTCTACATGGCACAACACGAAGGGCTTTATTGATAAAAAAATATATTCTAATAGATTCTAAAAGCTTGATAGGTCCATTTATAGACTCAAACAAGCATCACGTAGCTGGAATCTTTGATTTCATGAAAAGGTCAAAGAGTTTGGATTTTCTAGAAGTGAGGATGAATCTTGAGTACATGTTAAAGCTAGTGGGAGTAACGTGGTTTTCCTAGTGTTTTATGTTGATGACATATTTCTTATATGAAACAATATTCCAACATTGCAGAGTGTCAAAAATGAGTTTGGAAAATGTTTTTCTATGAAGGATCTAGGAGAAGCAGCTTACATAGTGGGCATTAGGAACTATAGGGATAGATCTAAACATTTAATCGAACTAATCAAAAGTACATACTTAGATAAGGTTTTGAAAAGGTTTAAAATGAAAGATTTTAAGAAAGAGTATCTACCCATGCAACATGGCATAAGACTGAGTAACAACCAATCACCCAAAAACTGGACATAAAGTGGAGAGAATGGGTTGTGTCTTGTATGCTTCTGATATAGGATCGTTCATCTATGTCATGACATGTACTAGACCTAATACCTTATATGCTCTTAACATGGTGAGTCGATATCAAGAGAAACCTGGTTATAGTCTTTGGACGGTCGTAAATAATATCCTCAAGTATCTGAAAAGAACTAAGGACATGGTATATGGTAGAAAAGAAGAATTAAGAGTTACATGTCACATAGACGTATGTTTCTAGAATGATAAAGAGAACTTGTGCTAACAATCAGGAGGTGTGTTCTTGCCTAATGGAGGCGTTGTTACGTGGAAAAGGTCCAAATAGAAGATGATGACAAATTTAACATGCGAGTCTAAGTACATTGCAGCAAGTGAAGCTGTAAAGGAGGCTACATGGTTAAAGAGCTTCATTGGTGATATTGGAGTAGTACCACACATCAAAGAGACACTGGAGATCTTTTGTGATAATGATGGTGCAGTCTCCTTGACTAAAGAACCCAAGGACCATGGTAATTACAAACACATTTAGAGGAAATATCATTATGTTTGACATCGTATAGAAGATGGAGATATCATCGTGAGTCGGGTATAATCCGAGGATAATGCTGCTGATCCATTCACAAAGCCACTATCAAGAGAGAAACATGATTGTCATGCGAGGATGATTGGCGTGAGATTAGATAGTTATTTTATGTAGTATTTTAGTTGTAAGTTTGAGTTATTATGAAACATGTTTACAATATGACTTGTAACATTTTTATGTCTATTTCGAAGAGTCTTAAGAAAGAGTATTGGTTTGCTATCAAAATCTTGTTAATTCAAAATCTTGTGTTTCACTTTTCATGTTTTGAACCAACTTCCAAAATATTTAATTATGTTTAAAACTCCATAGTCGGTCGCATTCTCAGGAGTGAATGTCGGTATTAAAGATTGTCATGAGTATTGGTTGATTGACGAAAGTATTTTGGGCATTGCAATAGAGATTGCACTAATACTGCATGCGTACTTGAAAATAGAGATTTTAAGTATTGGAACAACCCACACTTAGATATTACTTCATGGATCTAGTTACGAGTAATTTTTTAGCAAAAATATATTTTATTCTTCAAACCAAGATACATATGGGGTTTTGTTTTCAAAAACTGTTGTTCATTGGTGTGCACCAACGCTATCCTAACTGGTAGTTATAAAGGATATTCCATAAGTGATTAGAAGATTAAGCATAAACTATGTTGTTAAAGTTTATTTGTTCCTTCTCGTAATTGGGAAGCGATATTTATGGGCTCCTCATTGATTCGGTGCTGACATCTGAAGCGCTTGGTCTAGCCCTGAATAAATTGATGTGTTTGATTTAGTAGTCGGATGTAATGTAAGAAATCATTAATAAGGAAACAAAATATTGAACAATGAGACTGACTCATATTCATGACTCCCGTTCATAAAGATCTAGGTGGTTAATATCGGCGCTATCCAGGTGGGATATCGTTATCGCCCCCTTTCAAAATATTGGTATCAAATATCGGCACAAAATATCGGAACCGCAAATATCGGCGATAATTACCGATATTTCACTGCTATTTTGATTCCTAAATATCGGTTATATAATGATTTTCCCAAAAATATGTTTTCGAGCCAAATTTGTGATAAGCCCATAAACTTTGATTTTTTTTGGATTTAATACTCATAGGCCATAGCTCATAAGCCCAAACGACTAAAGTCACTCTTGAGTTTGACCCGAAATTCCCAATCAACAATTGTATACCTAGCTTTTTAATCGGATTTGCTTTGTTCGTACTCAACCCAGACGACAGCGAGTCAGCGAATTTGGGACTTCAACACTGATTCGCGATTCTTGTTCCATTATTCTTCTTCGGTTCCTCAACTGTTAAGCAACACAGGAGCTACGGTTCTTCGTCTTCAGCAACTACTATTCTTCGTCTTCAACAGGTACGTTCACATCTTTGGTTCTTCCACTATTAAGCTTCGAAATTCTAATTGGCCCAAATTTGTTCATCTTCAGCTACTATTGTTCCATTAACTGATGTTATTTTTGGCCCTGATACTATTAGCTTCGAATGAATCTCATTTTGATGTTGCCCGAATTTTTATCTTTCTTTTATTTTCCGTTTGTAACTTTGTATCCTCGGTCTAGGTCTACAATATGTTGTATATTTTTCATTTTTTCTTTTACTTGGTTGTTAGTTGTTATTATTAAGCCATGGATTCATGGTTTTAAATATTAACTGATCATGCATTTTTCATATTGTCATATTGTCATATTGTAATTAAGTGTTAACTGTTAAGTTTCTAGTTGCTACGGCTTACAAGTTTCTTTGATGTTGTATTTGTGTTAAATATACAACTTCTATTTTACATATATTGGTTGTTAGTTGTTAGTTTTTATTGTTACAGGATCATGTTATTGTAAAAGTCTAAGTTTGAAACAAGTGCTTTATTCTTAAGCTATCATGTTGTTTTGTTACCTTGTTACTGATCGTGTTTTTTGCAACAACTTTGATGATGGATGGTCCATCCTCACATGCATCTGTAAACCCTACAAACACAAACAATAATACAATATCGTCTGATGCCGGAACTGGGATAAAATGTTTGAATGGAGATATGGCATGGGAATGGGGAGAGTGGAGAGATCCCACAAAATAACAAAGCATTTGGTGTACATTATGTGGTAAGATGGTAAGTGGAGGAATCACACGATTGAAGCAACATCTTACTCATACCTCAGGGCAAGTCACCGGTTGTCTGAATGTGACTGTAGATATCCAAAAGAAAGCATGGCATCAATTAAAGAAAAAGATAAGATACAAAAGGAAAAGAAAAGAAATATTGAAATTCTTAGATCTTACACCGTTGATCTTTCTGATGAAGATGAAGATGAGGATGAGGAAGTCGTTGTACAAGAAGTTAGATCAAAAAGAAATGTTTCAAAGAAAAAGAAATTTGTGGGTGCTAGCAATGTACGAGGTCCACTCGATTTAATTTATCAGACTAATCATGGAAAAAAAAAGCAAAGTACACTTGATAAAAATAATCCAATAAAAGAGAATTTAAAGATGAATGCTTGGGATAAAATTGCAACTTGGGCTTATTCGGTTGGTTTACCCTTCAATGTCGTACGTGACGAAGGTTTCCAAGATATGATCAATTCCATTAGTGAATATGGAAGAGGTATTTAAATGTGATTAAAGATTTATTGGTTATTTTATTATTACTTAAATACTTAATTTTATGACTTTATATTAGGTATGCCAGCTCCATCTTATCATAATATCTGTGTCACATTGATGAAAAAACATTCAGAAGATACTCAAAAGTTTGTAGATTCATTCCGGCCACATTGGGAGGAATATCGGTGTAGCATTATGTCCGATTTTTGGACAGACGGTAAAGGAAGATGTTTTATAAATTTCCTAGTCAATTGTCCTTTTGGAACGGTATTTTTGAAATCAATTGATGCATCAGAGCATGTAAAGAATGCTCAATTGATCGTGGAAATGATAAATGAGGTGATAAAAGATGTTGGAGAGGAGACCGTTGTGCAGGTAATTTTACTTTCTAGTTTTCTAAATATTATTTTTTATTTTAAATTTATAATCATTTTATTAATTAAATTCTTTTTCTTATTTTCTTATAGTTCATTACAGACAACGAGTCAAACTTTAAAGCTACTGGAAAGATTTTAGAAGAGCAACATTCCAAGTTGTTTTGGACTCCGTGTGCAGCACATTGTGTGAATCGCATGATAGGAGATATTGGTGAAAAAATACCGAAGATAAAAAATACTTTGGCTGATGCAAGAGCAATTGTTGTCTACATTTACAACCACGGAAGAATTCTTAATCTGATGAGGAAGTTGACGAAGAACAAGGAATTGCACAAGTCTTGTGTAACTAGGTTTGCAACCCAGTTTTATACAATTCAGAGTATCCACGAGAATCGGCATCATATTCAAGTATTGTTCGTTTCTGAAGAATGGAAGAAAAGTGACTTTGCAAAGAAGTCAGTTGGAAAGAAAGTTGAACGAATAGTTGCAAAACAAGAATTTTGGGATAGCGTACACTTTACTTGTTAGGTGCTAGCTCCTTTGGTGGATGTGGTCAGATTGGTTGATACAGAAGAGAAGCCATGTATGGGTTACATCTATGATGCAGTAAACAGAGCCAAGGAGCAGATTAAGAAAAATCTGAGTGGCACGCCTAATGAAAGAATGATCACTAGACTTTGGGCTATGATTCAAGCAAGATGGAGCGACCAACTTCATCACCCGTTACATGCAGGTTATATTTTTTATTTTAATAGAATTTCCTAGTTTTACTTCTAAATCTTTATTAAATATGCAGTTGGATGTTACTTGAATCCTGCCATTTTTTATGGGGAAAATTCAAGGGAGATACGGAAGAACAACGACATTGCGACGGGACTTTATGTTGCTATAGATCGTCTAGTTCCCGATAATGATGACAATGATAAATTGAGGCAAGACTTGAATCTATACATTGATTTAGTTGGGCAATTTGGATCTCCAGCTGCTATAAGGGCTAAGACAAAAGTTGCACCATGTAAGTAAAACATTTTAAAAATATTTACATGTTTTTATAGCATAATTTTTTATAAGGTCATTTCACTTATTTATAAAATGTAAATATATGGTGGCGTACTTATGGGATCGACACGCCTTTGCTCCAAAATTTTGCTATCACAGTCCTTAGTCAGACATGTAGTGCTTCACCTTGTGAATGCAATTGGAGTGCATTTGACAATGTAATTGGTTTCTAACTAGTACTTTTTATAAATAATATTAAATTTAGATTATTTACTTCATTAAGTAATTCTTTTATTCTTTGTGTGCAGTTACATTCAAAGAAAAGAAATTGTCTTTTGCAGCAAAAACTTAATGACCTTGTATTCATCCAATACAACACAAGGTTACAAAGGCGCTACAATTCATTAAAATCAAACAGATCTTTGGATCCTATTTTATTGAGAGACGTAGAGGAAAATGATGATTGGGTTATACCAACAGAAGTTGAGCTTCAAGAGTTTGTTGACGGTGGAATGGTCTTCTTTGGTCAGCTACGCAAGAGGCAATGGGAAGAAATGAAGAAGTTGGGGTAACAACTAGGAGCAAAAGAGAGCGCTACAGAGATGATGTTGATGATGATATTAGAATTGAAGTGAATGATCTTGATTAACAATTGGATGCCTTGGTTGATGTGGACTCGGAGGAAGATTTCATGGCTTACGATTAGATTATGTTTCGATTAGATCATGTTTTGATTAGATTATCTTTAAAACATCAACACATTTTGAATTTTCTACTAGATATTATATTTATATATATTTTACGTTAAGTAGTTATATTATTATTATTATTATTATTATTATTATTATTATTATTATTATTATTATTATTATTATTATACGTAATAAAAAATGCCGATATCCCACTGCGATAACCTATATATCGAATATCGGCCCTTGACCGATATTTGATTTTCGACCGCTATAACTGCATAGATAGAGATATCTAGAATAAAGTGATAAATTGATCACTTGCCAAAGGACCAAATTCTAATTAGAGTTTGGTAGTTGCAATAAATGACTACTCTCTGTTAATAATTAGAGAAATATTTCATCCTAAAAGTGGACGAACTGTACAAGTTGTACAAGTGGGAGACTATGATATCATAAGGACAATGAGTAAATAATATGTTAATATATTAAGGAATTAATTTACTAATTATAAATTATATTTTTGATAAATTAATTAAAAGGATTTAATTAATTAAGGAGGTTGAATATTAATTAATCATAGGGCTTAACTGCAATATTCTAGAAACTCCTAAAGAAGTGGAGATGGACGGTTTCATATCCCTTGGATATGGATAAGGCTGGTTTGAATCAGATAAGGATAAATTACTCTAATAGCTGCCTATAAATAGAACACTAGGGTAAATCCTAGAGCCAATTATCCTTCCTCCCAAAATCATCCATATTTTATCTCTTTTTCCCTCTCTCCGTCTCTCTCTCTCTATCTTATTGGATGAAAATCATAACCTCTCTCTTAGGGTTTGGTGATTTTCATATAAACCCTAACTTGGGGTTGAATCCTTTTGCAATTTGGTGCGCTGGGTTTGATTCCATTAGAGGGGTGCTCTTTTAGATCCTTCATCTTTGCAACAAGCTGGCACATATAAGATAAAAAAGAATTGAATATGAGGTTGGTAATATTTACTTTTGTCATTTTTCAAAGTATGTTGTTATAATAGTAAAATATAGATTCTAGGTAACATGTGCACTTAGGTATATCAAGTTTCGATATTTCCGCTACCTTTAGATGGATATAAATCCCCATTATTCTTCTGTCAAAGTCCATGCTTTAGGCTTGGCCTTTTTTATTTTTCATCGATTGTTTTTGTAAGAACCCAAAATTTATAGGGATTTGAATTTGGGTGAATAATTAACCTAAATGGTAATTTGGTCATTACGAGGGATTTCATGAATTAAAAAGATGTAAGTTCATGAAATTAGTCAAGATCAGTCTAACTCACTTTTATAAGATGAGATAAGTGAGTTCATGAGAAGAAATGCAAGAGATTGTGCATTTAGGCCATAAAGGTAAAATGAGAATTTTATGCTTTTTGGGCCAAGTTTTCGACTTAATAGATTAAGACCCATAAGTAGTTAGTCCTGAGTGACTTAATGGAGTTGTAAAACTCATCACCACCGTTGTGTGGATATAAAGGTAATAGAAACGGGTTTGAAATGAAGAAGTTATAAGTGTTAGAAGATTAGAAGAAAATTGTCCCAAAGCTGGAATGGAATCAGCTAAGGACCTACTAAAGTGCAAGCACCATGATGCGACAAGGTTTTTTCCATGACGTGATTAGTGAAGCAGTAATATGGATGAAAGTTACATCATAAGTCGATGACAATGTACTTTGCACCACGGAGTGGTATATGGGTACCTGCACGTGGTGACAAAAGTAGGTTGATATAAGAAAAAGGCATCACGATGCGGTAAAAGGGAGAACACAACCTAATTACGCACACCATGAAACGATAGATATGTTACCATGATGTGGTTATGTAGATTGAACAAATCAAAACATTTTAAGGGTTCATTCTGGGACCAACTCCTCCCTAATTTGATGGAGAGCTGGAGAATGACGATTTTGAACCCAAAAAGGAGATAACATGAGCTACAAATTAGGATAACAAGGATTAACATCCTTTCCCTAATGAGGTAACAATATTTTCGTTTAATGAAGCTTTAAGCTTTAATGGTGAAATTACTAGATGTGACAACCTGAAATTTCCATTCTGAACAAACCATATCAAGCCAATAGAAGTTAGAACAGTTACAGTGAAATTCCAGACTTTGGGTATAAGTTTGAGTATTTTAGGTTTAGCACTTAAGGAGATATCAGGAGAGTGGATGCACTAGGGTTTTGTGCAACACTGTTATTCCAATACTCTATGATATTAGAGTTCATTCTGGGAATAAAATATTTTCTGCCAAAAATCTCAGGACTATATATAGAAATCTGAACCATATTCATTCATTAGTTGCATTTCCAACTAGAGAAAAGCCGAATTCTCTCTCACGGATCTTCGGTTTTTTATCTCAAATCGTGAGTACCTCTCTCTAGTAGTGTTATATAGCTTAAAATGTGTTCATAACATAGATTACATAGCCAAATAACTAGATTTAGGAGTTTACTCCCCAAGGTGTTCTTGGGCGGTAAACTCCCGAAACAATGCCTAGACCTTCCCTTGTGTTATGCTACTGCTTTAGACTCATATATATGTGTGTTAGGGACAAGAAAACAACCAAGAAACATAAAAACATGGGTGTTCACAACCCAAGATGATCTTGGACCGTGAACTCCAATAACTTGGATCAAAGGGTGCTTTTAAGGCACCTAAAGCCTTAGACAATTACTATGAATTGTTTCCACTTAAATAAAGGACCAAAACACATCAAAAACAGCCCTCAAAGTGAGTTCACAACCCTAATAAGGTTCTTGGGCTGTGAACATCAAACAAAGGCACCAAAGTGTGCCTAAGGCCTTCATATGCTTGGGATAAAAACCTAAGACCTATACCACATGTGCAAGGGACTTGAAAGCATCAAAAACATCATTCCAAGGGAGTTTACCATAGTAAACTCCAAAGGAAATGGCCTTAGGGCCGTAAACTCCTCAAAGGAGTGTTTCTATGCCCTAAACTCTTCCAAGAATTAAACCACCAAGTTGGAATACTTCTAGGGATCATTTAACACCTCAAAACAACCAAGGACATTAAGTCTTGGAGTTTACGGCCGTAAACTCAAGAGTTTACAACCGTAAACTCCATGTAAACTCCATGTGTGAGGTTATATGGAGAGTAAACTCAAGTATAGGGTCCTTTGGAACCCTAAACCCAAGTGCCTTGTCCCACAATAGCTTAGATGCAATCCTTAGGGCTTATAACACTTATATAAAGTGTTTATTATGTTCTAGGATGTATTAACATTATCAATTAGTAATTTAAGACTAATTTAGTGCATATATGTGTGATTATATGTTCATTAGGATTGTAGTGTGTGTACAAGTCCTTACTTGACGCCTAACAATCCTACACCGTTTAGTTCATCCAAACCACCATCTACAGGTGAGTTCATACCCCTTAATCAATGTTTTAACTATTTTTAAATGTTTTATGGGGGGCGATACAAGTAGAATTATGCTAGTTACTATATCAATCACTGTGATTAGTAAGCAACATTCAAATGATTGGCTACTTATTAGCCATTTTACCAAACAGATTCCTTCAAATGATTTTCATAAACATTTTATATGATTAAAACTCCTTGTTAAGTTGTACACTTTACTCTGTACGCTTCATTTCAAACTCATTTATAATTGTGTTTCAAACAAATATTCTTTTATACTTAAAACTGTTTCGTAAAACCCACGCTTTCAAACCGTTTTATAGATTGACATCAAGTTGATCGTTTCTTAGATAATAATTATGTTCAAAGGTTTTAACAAACTTATTCTATGCTTTTATATTATCAATTGCATGCCTATATATGTATAGTTATATAAGAAATGTTTAAAAGACTTAGGAAGGCTATCCACCCTATTTCCTTTTCGCGCTTGAGATGTGGTGTGGTGGGATATCGGGTACCCGTCCGAAGGTCGTTTAAATATTAGTTATATATCATGTGTACATATATAGTCATAAAGGTTCTTCCAGCTCATTCAATACCCTTGGGTAGCAAGGGTATACATCCATGTCCATACGTACCAGTTAGATTACTAGTAAACTACCATAGGGGTAGTTTAGGAAGCTACTAGAACTATTATTAGAACACGATATCATACAATGAGTCAGTCCATTCATGATTCAATACTTGCTAGATAGAGAGAGAACACACGTTACAACTAGTACACACTGAACATTACAGCACATTTACATGATTACATTTACATGAGTACATTTACATGATTACATTTACATGAGTACATTTACATAGATAATATATGATGAGTTATTATTACATTTTATATGTATAGATTACGTTATAAAATCCTCATTCTTATCTTTACCTTGTGATACAATCACATAATCGACGAGATAGATTGGATTTAATATCCTAGTACCAAAGGATACTTTGTGGGACTAACCATTCCTATAGCCACTGTTAGCTATAGAGGATAATGAGTATCTACGGATGCCTACGGTTGATACCATTACAGGTATACTTTAAGGGATTAACTATTCCTACACCCAGCTGTTAGCAACAGAGGTAAATGTACATCTACGGATGTCTAAAGTTAACACTGTTAGTTACCCTAGTACCAAAGGGTAATACTTTGTTTAGTTATATTATTACCTTTATTTTGTGACTCATTCACATAACCGATGAGGTGAATTATATTTGAGTATCCTAGTACCAAAGGATACAATTTCTTATAATAATAATAATAGTAACACAGTCGGGTCTTGGTAGAAGACTACATTTAGAACAGTCGGGTCTTGGTAGAAGACTACAATCAGAACAGTCGGGTCTTGGTAGAAGACTACATTTAGAACAGTCGGGTCTTGGTAGAAGACTACAATCAAAACAGTCGGGTCTTGGTAGAAGACTACATTTAGAACAGTCGGGTCTTGGTAGAAGACTACATTTAGAATAGTCGGGTCTTGGTAGAAGACTACCTTTTATAGTAGTAGGAATCATAGGGATTTCTAGGATTTTTCAAACGTTTATAGTTGTTCTACAAACATTTTCATACTTATACGAGCTTTCTTTCAAAACAATGTCAAGTCTTTAATTACAAGTTTTACAAATTAAGACACAATA